TTTACAGGATGCACCATCCTTCCCCCGCACAGGACAGAAGTAATGTAATGCATTCAAAGGTATGGCCATTATGGATGTCATGGACACCATGAAGTCCTGAGTTGCAGATCCAGAAGCAACCTCAGGACAGAAATTAAAGTTAGCCAGGATCACCATGCTGGATTCCTCCAAGACCACTTAATCCGGCTTGGACAGGGAGGATGCTGGGCAGCAGGGTGGGCAGTACCCAGTTTGTCACTATGACCCAAACCTAATGCAACCCCTGAAGGTTTTCTCCAAGGTGGAGTGATAGGGATGGAAGCTTTGTGAACCTTGGCTATATTGAGTGGGGTAATGAGTTGTTTTCTCAGTACACTTTGAACTAAATTCTCCAGTCTTTTATGTTCTTGAAGGACTTATATCCTGAGCACAAAGAAGTAGTTGGCATGGCAGAAATGTTTACAGAACAGTTCTGAGCAATGATTAACATTTATTTAAAACCGTTGGGTGCAAGGAATACTGAGTTAGAAGACCCATTGATCTGATTTGCTATAAGGCTGCTACTTAAGTACATATTTATTTTAGCAGTTTGCAGTGATTTATGCATTTCTAATATGTAAATAAAATGTATATAGTGTTCTGTAACTCTGTTTATGTGAGCATGATAGATTACCTTTGCATTCACAATCCACACACTTGATTGGTTCTTTTGTTTTTAGTCAATGCACTTAATTAGTACAGGTTATTTTCATCAGTAGAATTTATTGTATAAATTTTAGCCCCAAATTTGTATGACTTACATACAGCCAAAAAGAAAAATAAAAAATAAAAATTGATAACATGGCACTGACCTAGCTTTTTGCATTTAATTATACATATTGGGCTAAAAGCTCTAAAAGTTGTTAATGTTTTAAGTCTTGGCTACTTTTTGCAAATGAAACATTTTTTTCTATGATTATTTTCTGCTGTAATCAAAAGGACATTAACATGGACAGGAAATTAATCTAGCACTCTAGAGATTAATATTAATCTGGTAATGTACTGTCCTCATGATTTTGGGAATCCTTTCTTACAGTGCATTATGGCAGGGTATTTATAAGCTGTTAAGGTAAAAGTTCCTTGTGCTTAAAATATGTCCTCATATGTCTTTTCTTTTTGGCTTGCTAGAGCAATAGCATTTGCTTTCTTTCAAGTGATGTTACACAGTTAGTTTTTGTATTCACTTTACCATATTGGAAAGTCTCTTAAGGATTACAAATTGTAGGAAATAACATGTTTTATGTTTTTGTTTTTTACTGTTTTAAATTCTAATCCCAAAGCTACGGTTGGTTTTCTGATGTTATCAAGCTGCAATTTATATAGGAGTTATAGTCAGTGGAGTTTTTCTTTATATATATTTTGGTATAGGCTCTTGCCATGTTGGTCTTGGAGAATTAGGGTAATATCCAAAGCTAGAGAAGCTGGAAACTAGCCAAAGCTCACATTTCCAGAATGGAACGAATCAAGAGAGCTCACAGAAGGGTGTTCCACTGACTTACCCTGTATCAGAAATCCTGTTTCTGGCTTTTTCCAAGTTAAACTAGGAAGCATAACTTTCTGTTGTACTAGCAGTCATCCTTGCTAGCATGGCCTAGCGATTGTCGGTTATTTGCAAGTTCTGAAAATGGTTATAAGACACAGAACAGTAAGTGATAGCATCTAACCAATTTTGTGGCACTGGGCATGTTGCCTAGGTTCAAATTTCATTGGTTTCTCCAGTTGCACATAGTACATGGAGGCCACAGCTTCCTGAATCCAGACAAATATATTCAGCAGCTTCTTTGCCTAGATATGATATGCTGCATCAAGTGATCACACTATTAAAGGCTCCCTTTTTTCTGTGTCCCATTAAGAACTATAGAGTCAACAGAGACTACATTGGTCTACTGTCTGATCTTGCAAGAATTTTATTGGAGTGTAAGAACGATATATTTATGAAGCTGAAGACATCAGCTATCCCTAGGTCTTGCTCTGCCCTTGGAAACTTGTCCAAGTTCAAGACTGCATTTTGGATGCATTGTTTAAATCTCTTTGTGTTAGGGGGTTTTTTGTTGGGAGGGAGTCTGAATTATTACAGCAAAGAGGTGGAGGCTTTTTAGATTAAAGTATCATTAAGGGTGCAGTCCTGTGCATATTTAGACAGAAGTCCTATGACTCCCATCACCTTTTCTGTTTAAAAATACATAGGATTATACCCTAAATTTGTTTCTGTATTGTGATTTTAATGTGTTAGTTCATGTTTCAGATCTGTGGGCTTTATATATAAGAAAACAAGGTTCTTTGGTTGCCATCACTCACAATGGTGTGACGAGGAAGGGCCTTCTTTACAGTAGCACCCAATCTGTGGAATACTTTTCCCAGGGAAACCAGGCAGACATCTCTACTGTCTATGTTTAAGGATAAATAGGGAATATCATTTTCCAGAACTTTCAGTTTCAGTCTCACCTGTATTTTTTTTCAAATTCAAATTCTGTGGGAAACATTGTTCATTACTGACATTCTGTGTATACCTTTTAAAATGTACATCCATGGGTTTCGGCTTTATATATATCCACATACATAAATACAGGAAAGCTACATTTTTATTTCATTAAATCTTTCCCCACTGTTCATGAAAGATAAAAAGAATCTAGGTTTTTGTGTAAGAAGAGGATTGATTGGTGTCATGTACATATTCGTTCACATCTGTTTATGCAAGATAATAAGAGTATTAACATGGAGGTGAAATAATGGTGTTTATAATTCCATTGCCACTGTTTATATAAGATAAAAACCAGTGCTTTAAAAAAAGTAAAATGGTAAGAGAACATTTGCTGTTATGTACATACATTAATTTCCTCCACTTGTGTTTATAAAGTATAAGCATGAAAAAGTTTAACAAGTTGAAGTGAAGTCAATGTTGTTTATAATATGGATCCTTGCTGTTTACCTATGATAAATTAATTTAGAGTATGTAATTTTGTCTCTTCAGAGAGGGGAATTGGGGTGACAGCATTTGGGGCTATATTGTGTACTTTTAGCAGCCTCAGAATTCTTTCCCTTATTAGGAAATATGTGAGATATATGCTAATTCATGCCAGTCTGAATATTATATAGTTCCTTAAAACAGGGCACACGTTGCAGTGACTTGCTGGGCAGTAGAACCTAGATTGTCTCAGAGTTTCTAAAGAGATACCACCAGACAACACAGAGAAGTTCTGTAAAGATCTAAGAATGGTCTTGTGAATGATAACCCTGCTATCGCTGTTTTTCTCTCCATGATCCTGTCTTTTTTTCTTTGAATAAATCATATTAAAAATTGGACACCTGTACAAGCTTCTTATTCTACGCAGTCCAGTTCCTACTGATCACTATTGTTAATGGCTGACTGTTGAAATGCATTTTTAAATATACCACTGAATATTGGGGTGGGGGGTAGGTGGAGTGTTTGTTCTCATTTTAAGCACAGGGGCTTGGAACCTGAAAAATGCCAACAGAAGACAAGTGGGTGAGAAATTACTTTCGTGGCTCCTTCAAGACAAGGTTCAGGAGTCCCTTGTGGATAGGATGGTGGGTGGGCTATGACACAGAGGACTAAGAAGAAATGGCTGACTGCCCAAGATTCCTTCTGCAAGCAGGAACAGCAGCAGTATTGCTCACAAATAAGCAGCCAGCCTGCCATGGGACCAGTAATCCTTAGCTGTAGTGCTTATGGGTAGGTCTGTAGGCTGAAAAGGCTCCATTTGCCTCCTTGAAACCAAGACCTTCCTAGTTGCAGAACTGTGGCAGCTCTTTATCTGCTCCTGATGACTGGCCAGGAAGAGCTAATGGGAATCGCTTGCTGTCTGGGCCAACTGGTCTGTAAATTGAATAGCACAACCTAAGAGTATTTGCTCCTGAATTGCTCCCCCAGGTGGGTGGGTCTCAAGCTTCAAGCTTTCCTAAGCCTGAACACTGGAAGGGTTTCAGTGTACCATTTCAAATGTCAAGCTGGAGCTTTCCCTATCTGTAGATAATAAGTATGCTATGCAGACTGGGCTTGTATTGATAATACAGACTTCTATTGATCTTAAACAGACTTCATTATATTATATTTGTCCTTATGTCCTTGCATGCCACTGAATTTAAACTAACTGATCACCAGGGCATTTTTATTCTCTTGTCTCAGGATACATTATGATAATTCACTTATCTGTGTTGTCAGTACTTCTCCCTACCACAGTAGATTGACTGAGCACCAATATTTCCTACCCTGGCCTGTTTATTTATTTACTATTAATAAAATCCATAACAAGCAATTGCTCTTTTTCATTATCCTATGTGGCTACTAGTCTCCATGCAGGAGACATCCAGACCTAAAAAACATATTAGGAGCTATAAGTATTTTTGAGACCTTTTGTAGGGAACCCTGCAAAAGAGAAGTTACAGTCTCTTTAAGAAGAATGAAGGGATCAGAACATTCATTTGCTTATGCCTAGCATTTGCTACAATGTTCAGTATAAATGATTTCCCATAACTAAATGTGGAGAAAAGTTCTGAGTGTGATATGTTTAAAATGTAGCTTTATTGGAACTTTATTTTCCATTCTGGGCATACATACCCTTCCATAAGATTGTAGTTTGATGCTGAAAAAAAAAAAAAACAAGGCTTTTCTTATCATGTACCAGAGACGACAGACTGCAGAAACCCAGTGGCATTTTATAAAGCATCTAACAAGAACTGGGACTTGCCAGGCTCCATTTATCTGGCCAAGAATATATATCTATGATCTATCCCAAGGAGATTTTCAGCAGAGTCTTACACTTAGTGTCTAAATTAATAATAGTGTTTCCCTTCCCCCACCATAGCCATGACAAAAGCCACTCTGCACTTTTATACATTATGTTAAAGTTTTTGTCATGAATGGATTCTGTAAAAGCTTTTTCTGCTTCATCATTTTGACAAGTCAATTCCACTAAATCTTCCATGATCATCATGTTCTCTTTTTAACTTTTCAATTCCAGAAAACAGAAAACATTTCTGAGTTACACAGCACCAAACAGCCACTGAGTCATTCGCTGCAAGGTAAGTTGACTGTGTAGAAGTCTGTAATATAAAAGTGAAAAGTAAGTGTAACTCCACTTATCAGCTCTACACTGAACTCTGGAAAATTATGTGATATCTATGGCTCTTCAGTATGCCCAGTCTCCTTGATCTAGTAGGCTCCCTTTGGAAACGGTGCCTTATGAACCAATTAACCTCAGTAGCTTTGGATGCCTGCATTTGTTTGTCTTGTTAGTTTACCTCTTCTAAAGAGGTGTAGACTCAAAAATATGTCATAAATATTTTTTCAATTGTTTCATTTTCATGCTGCTTCCTTGACCTTTTGGCTTGTAAATTACAAAGCAGAAAGTGTCTCTTGCAAAGTACCTACATTTAGGATTATTATTAGCTGTTGCTACTGTAGCAAACAAGAGTTTTTGTGGGCTGAGCTGGTAGCAGTGTTCACTATGTCCCACCTTTCTTTGAATGTTTCCAGGCAAAAATGTCAGAGAATTGCAGTTTGGGTATTAAACATGCACTTTGATCTACAGCTTACTTAAGAAGCTTTACATCCTTTAGAATGCTGTCTAACATGTCCAATAGAAACAAAGAAACAGAGCCACTCAGAAGGGGACTCCGGGGCCATCTAGTCTAACCCCCAACTCCAGCTGGCTCCACTCACAACATGCCTCCCATGTGCATGTCCAGCCTATCCTGGAACACCCTCACTGATGGGGCCTCAACCACCTCCCATGGAAGCACATTCTAACTGTCAGGAAGTACTTCCTGGCATCCAAATTGAAATGTGTCTTCATCAGCAACCTATTTATTTAATTTATTTATTTAGACAACTTATACGCCACCCCATCGCATGAGCCTCGGGGCGGCTTACAATCATTAAAATCCCTTATAAAATGCAAAAAAATCATCAAATAAATAAAATACATAAAATAAAATAGTGGAAACAGCCTGGTCAATTTAAAATCCACAAGTAAACCATTAACAGTTAAAATAGCATTTAAATACAAAGGTCTTGGCCTGGCGCCGAAAAACAAATAACGACGGCGCCAGGCGGACCTCTCTGGGAAGCACATTCCATAGGTTGGGCGCCACCGCAGAGAAAGCCCTCCTCCAAGTACTCACTCTCCTAATATCCTTCACGGAGGGTTCCCAGAGAAGGGCCTCTGCCGCCAATCTCAGGGGGCAGGAGGACATATATGGATGCAGGCACTCCTTTAGGTAACCAGGGCCTAAGCCGTTCAGGGCTTTGTAGGTGATAACCAGCACCTTAAATTGAGCCCGGACTTCAATGGGGAGCCAGTGGAGCTGACGGAGGACTGGGGTTATATGAGAACAATGCCCAGTCCCTGTCAGCAGCCTGGCAGCTCTATTTTGCACCAATTGAAGTATCCAGACAGTCTTCAAGGGCAGCCCCACATAGAACGCGTTGCAGAAGTCTAATCAGGAAGTAACCAATGCATGTGTCACAGTTGCCGGGCAGTTGTTCTCTAGGTAGGGACGTAGCTGATGGATCAGCTGAAGCTGAAGGAAAGTGCGAAAGCTGAAGGAAAGAGGGAGTGCAACCCCATTCAGGACAAGGTCAAAGTCCCCCATCCCAAAGCCCAATCCACCAAACAACAGGACCTCCATCTTGTCTGGATTGAGCTTCAGTTTATTGGCCCTCATCCAGCCCATTACCTCGGCCAGGCACCGGTTCAGTACAGCCACTGCCTCACCTGGATTGGTAGAGAACGAGAGGTAGAGCTGGGTATCATCAGCGTACTGATGATTCCGCAGCCCACACCTCCTAATGACCTCTCCCTGTGGTTTCATGTAGATGTTAAATAGCATGGGGGACAAGATGGAACCCTGTGGAACTCCATGGCATAGCTGCCATGGTGCAGAGCCATAGTCCCCCAGCGCCACCTTCTGGAATTGGCCATTGAGATAGGAGCGGAACCACTGCAAAGCAGTGCCCCCAATTCCCAATCCCGCTAGCCTATCCAGAAGGATACCATGGTCAATGGTACCGAAAGCCTCTGAGAGGTCCAGGAGAACCAACAGGGACGCACTCCCCCTGTCTTTCTCCCTGCACAGGTCATCGTACAGGGCGACCAAGGCAGATTCAGTACCATACCCGGGTCTGAAGCCGGACTGAAATGGGTCCAGATAATCAGTTTTCTCCAAGAGTGCTTGGAGTTGTCCCACCACCACCTGCTCTAACACCTTGCCCAGAAACAGGATGTTGGCCACCGGTCTATAATTGGTGGCCATCTCTGGATCCAAGGAAGCCTTCTTTAGGACAGGCCAGACTACTGCCTCCTTTAAAGAGGCAGGTACCCAGCCACCCCTTAGAGAGGCGTTGACAACCTCCAGGATCCACGTCCCTATCCCGTCCTTGGCTGTCTTGAGTAGCCAAGATGGGCAAGGGTCCAATAAGCAGGTGGTGGAACGTGCTTGTCCAAGCAACTTGTCCACGTCATCAGGCCGCAATAACTGAAATTCATCCATCAATTTTGGACCAGACGGCAACATTGGCTCCTCCCCTGAAGGCTCACTAGTGGAGTCCAGCTCGTGACAAATCTGAGCAATTTTCTCCCTAAAATGATTGGCAAAGTCGTCACAGCAGTACCAGGTCTTTGTTAGGGCCTGGGTGGACCAGCCCTTGCACCACCCGAAAAACCTCCGCCGGACGGCATTGTGAGGAGGCAATGGACACGGAGAAAATTTTCTTTTTTGCCACCCTCACTGCCACAGCATAGGCCTGATAATGGGCTCTTAAGTGTGTTCGGTCAGATTCATCCCGTGATTTCCTCCACCTACGCTCTAGCCGTCTCCCAACCCACTTCATCGCCCGTAGTTCAGGTGTGCACCAAGGGGATGAATGGGCTCTGCCCGGCAGGAGAGGACACTTAGGAGTGATCGTGTCAATAGCCCTGATCATTTCCCCATTCCACAGTTCAACCCGAGCTTCGACAGGAGCACCAGCCTTATCAACTGGAAATTCCCCCAGGGCCTTCAGGAAACCATCCGGATCCATCTGGCTCTGGGGGTGGACCAGCACAATTGGGTCTGCACCTTTACAGAGGGAAAGGCCACTCTCGAGCTCAAACCTCACGAGGAAGTAGTCTGACCATGACAGGGGAGTCAGACATAAATTCCTCACCCTCAGATCACCCTCTTCCTGCCCCGTCAAGAAAACCATGTCCAGAGTGTGTCCACGTTCATGGGTCGGGCCAGTGACATGTTGAGACAGCCCCATGGCCGTCATGGAGGCCATGAAGTCCTGGTCAGATCCATCTCGACATGGAGATTGAAGTCCCCCAGGACCAACATCCTGGGGGTCTTCAACACCAGGTCTGAGACGATCTCCGTCAGCTCAGGCAGGGAGTCTGTTGGGCAGAAGGGTGCACGGTACACCAACAGAATCCCCAATCTGTCTCAATCGCCCAACACCAAGTAGAGGCAATCTAGACCCAGCCTTGAGAGAACAGGAAGCCCCGTGAGGGAGATGGAAGCTCGGTAAACCAAAGCGACCCCCCTCCCCTCCCCTCTAGGTGTGGTCGGTGCTGGACCAGATACCCGGGCAGGCACAGTTGAGAAGGGACACATCCCCCTCCTCACCTGCCCAGGTCTTGGTTATGCAGGCCAGGTCGGCCCCCTCATCCACAATCAAGTCGTGGATGAGGGATGACTTATTCTGGACCGACCTGGCATTGAGCAACAGCACTGTCAGGCCTGAGGGGCAGTTGACAAGCCTACCCAGAAGCCTCCGGCTGGGGGAGTAACCAGAAGGGGTCGCTTTCTTCTATGCAGACCTGTTAGACCCTCACCGCCATAACGTCCATTGCCCAAGACCACCACAATGGTGGCGCCCATATGCTCCCCAGGTGCAACCAGGTCTGAATCCATAAAATACACAAAATAAAATCACCTAAAACAATTAAAAACACTAAAAACCCACAGCCACCTGACTTATACTTTAAGGAAGCTCACCCCCAAAGTCCCAGGCCAGCCCAGCCCCCGCATGGCCCCGAACAGTCCCAAACGGTGTCACCGCCCTTAGGCTGACACCCTTTGGCCGCCAGCCCAAGGCCACTAGCCCCGGCCGCAGCCAGCGGGTTAAAGCCCCCGGCTCCTCCTCCTCCGCACCCCGCCCCCTGAGTGGCGCAGCTCTCACCTGCTCCGGGGGGGGGGTGGAGCAGGGCGCGCCGAGCACTTGCCGGCCAGATGGTGCAGGTGGGCCAGCAGAGTCCCGGCGGTGGTCTTTCGGGCGGCGGCGGCAGGTCTTCCCGGGCGGTGAGGGTGGGCAGTCCGTCCCAGTCCGTCCCTCCGTGGGGCCGGCTCGGCCATGGCCAGCGGGTTAAAGCCCGCAGCTCCTCCTCCTCCGCACACCGCCCCCTGAGCGACGCAGCTCTCACCTGCGCCGGGGGGGGGGGGCGGAGCAGGGTGGACCGGCAGGCAGTGCAGGCGGACTGGCAGCGTCCCGGCAGTGGTCCTCCAGGCGGCGGCGGCGCCTAAAAGATTATATGATGGTTTATATTGGTGATGTTTTATCTACTATCTACTGTCTAGTTACTTATCCTCAAAGCTGGGAGGAATGTAAAAGAGGTTTTTAAAAGACAGAGAAGTAGATCAGGCCAAGGGTTGGCAACAACTAGATAGTAAATGCTGCCATCTGTTTTAGGGGTGGTAGAAGGGACAAAACTTTTTCTTGGGACAGGAATTCTGGATTCTGAATAAAGCAGCAGCAGTCATTGCCGTAAGTTTTATTACGCCAGAGTACACCATCATAATATATTTTGGGTCCAGTGGCATCCTGGGGTAATGAAGATGGTAGCCATGTATTCAGCCCCTTTACTCACTGCTTCTATTCTCAGTACTAGCCAAGTCCCACTTGGTCTTTTAAGGTAATAAAAGATCAGGAACAGGGAACAGAAAAGAGAAATGCTAGATGAAGTGGCTGCACTACCTTAATTTCCATAAGGGCCTACTAGGGTGACAGTGGAGATAGAGCCTGTGGTATATCTTATTCTGGTGAC